AGGAGTTCCTGCCCCCCTGGGTCCTCTATTTTAGTTGCACTACAGAGCTGGAGAGGTTCCTGTCGGCGCTGAACGCCGCGTGGAGGAACATCTACCAGGTGAGCACGTGGGGCTGCCTCACACCCTTCATCCAGTGAGGGAGGGCAGAGGGGTGAATTCATCCCTGCAGGGTGAACCCAGCTTTCCCACAAAGGGCAGGGAGCTTCTCTGTTGTCCATATAAGCACGGGATGTGGGATTTGGAGCCTGGCAAGACAAGCCATGAGCATCCCACGCTGGCGAAGGGAGCGGGAGGGACCTGGGGCAGCCCATATTTAGGACACAGACGATCCAGTTCGTGTGGATTTGAGGTGGTTTTACAGCAAGAGGGAGAAGTGACTGTTGTCTGTTCCCCTCCTGACACCCCACACGTGTGTTCCAGGTCGAGCTCCTGCACAAGGCCATCCTGGACGCCGCTGTCAAGAAGAAGTGTGAGGACGCCCAGAGCCTCATCGACAGCGCGTGGCAGCGCAGCGACAGCCTGTGCCGCGGCCGGGCTGAGCGGGACCCCTGGTGCTGACCCTGCCCGGGGGAGGACAGCTCATGGGGACCCATTTCTGGGGGAAGCAGGGCCTGTGTCTGGCCAACTGGCAGCCCAAACCTCCTGCCATCGCTCAGTCCCGGCCAGGGACGTGCCTGCAGCGTGGACCCCGTGCCCACCGCCGAGCCAAGGATGTCCAGCGCATTTTGGGAGCAGCCGGACGCTTCTCCACCTGCGCCTTCCTCCTCCTCCAGCTGCCACGGGGCAAAGAATTTGCCTTTCATGGAATAATGTCCCACTAGTAGTGAGGGAGAGGGTGGGAGTGGGGTGGGCTGGGATGAGCATCCCCCCGTTGTGGTGGGGAACAGGACTGAGGACTTGTTCATTTTAGAACAGGGTCGGGGCGTGGAGGGGGCGAGATGGGAACACTCAATTGCTACCGTGCATGTTTTGTTGCTCCTACAATCACTGAGTACGGCACTGCTGCGCCGCCTCCTCCTCCTGGAGAACCCACCCAGGGCCTCCGGACGTCAGCCTGTCCATGAGGTTTGAGGCTAAGGAAGAGGGAACAGGGCCAAAAATTTGGCCTTAAACATCCCAGTGTGGTTTTAGGAGAGCTCAGAAGCTGGTTTGAGGTTTGGATGCTGGTCCCGTGTGCCGGGGAGGGGGTGAAGAGATGGAGTCCCACGTTCTTCAGGCATCCTGAGGGACGTTGTCACGTGGCTGCCACCGAACACATCCCCACCTCCTCGGTTCCTGCACCCGAGGCCGGCCCGGAGCCGTCGCCGCTTGCGCTCCACAGCGAGCACTTTGGGGCACAACCCCTGCTTTTAAATAATAATAGGAAGAAGAATAATTATAATAATAATAATCCGGAGACCTTCTCATGTAATATACGTTCATGGGGCCTTTTTCTGGGAGGAAACGTACGTGACTGAATGTATATGTACATACATCTGCTTCCTTTCCCCCCTCCCCAAATAAATAGTCACTGGTAACTCAGCTTTGGCCCTGCGACACATTCCAGCACCCAGGGCTGTTGTTCCTCATCCTGTTGTCACTTTGGAGCCTGTGGAATCGCTCTGGGGCAGGACGCTGAACCCCAGTGGTGTTAACCCTGTGCTGGGGCACGTTCTCTTTTTCAGTTGGGAATTATCCATCAGGACACATAGTCTGGATGCTCTGTCCCCATTTATCCCCAGATCCAGGAGATATTCCTAGTCTAGACAAGAAATAAACAGCCATGGGACCAGCCCCCAGCATCACCCACCTTGCCTGTAAACCCTCCCTCTCCTTTTGGGATCAAAACAGGGGTGTTGGGGGTATATCAGGGATGGGGGAGCCACTGGGGTGGGGAGGACTCACACCTCCCCACCCCCTCAGTAACCACCGGAGTGCCTCGGCCATGGGGTAAAACAGGTCCCAGGGGGTCACTGTGCAGCCCTAAAAATAGGACTCCATGGCGGGGGGGAGGGACACCGACACCCCCCACACACCCCCCGGAGCTCTTTGCCCTGGGAAGCTCCAATTTCAAAGCATTTCGGCGACCCCGGGAGGGATCAGCGCCGGGAGGGGCGGGTGAGACCCCCGCGAGCCCCTGAGCGGCGGCCGCGAGCGCAACGAACCCGCCAGTCCCGGTCCCTGCCCCGGGCTGTGCCCCCCCGGAGCCGCTCTCCCCCAGCTTCTGTTCCAGTTTTATCCCGCCTTTTTTTTTTCGTGCCTGTTTTTCCCTATTTGCGCCGGGGCAGCCCCATCACGTGAGGCCGGGCCGGGCTGGAGGCGGCTGCCGGGGCGCTCCGGTACCGGGGGACGGGGCCGGACACGCAGCCCCGGCCCGACCTTTGCCCCACATCCCTTCCCCAAACGGGGGCCGGATTTGGGGGGGGGGGCGGCGCTGGTTTGCGGGAGGCGGCGCTCGCTCGCTCCCCCCGGCTCGGGGTGTTTTTCCCTGCGGTCCCCCCGGGAGGTGGAGCCGGGGCCGCCCCTGGGGCAGGTGCCGGATGGCGACGGGAGCCCCCGGCCCCGGATCCCCCTCCCCGCAGGAACCCGCGCCCCCTCCCCCCAAGAGGAGCTCCCCGGCCAAGGGGGTGCCCCCGGCCACCGACCTGGTGCTGGGGGCCACCGCCGGGTGCCTGGCCTGCTTCCTCACCAACCCGCTGGAGGTGGTCAAGACGCGGCTGCAGCTGCAGGGCGAGCTGCAGGCCCCGGGCACGTACCCGCGGCCCTACCGGGGGGTGCTGCGGGCGGTGGGCGCCGTGTGCCGGGCGGACGGGCTGGGGGGGCTGCAGAAGGGGCTGGCGGCCGGGCTGCTCTACCAGGCGCTCATGAACGGCTTCCGCTTCTACTGCTATTCCCACGCCGAGGACGCCGGCTGGACGCGGTATCCCGGCGGCACCGTGGCCGCCGGGGCCGTGGCGGGGGCGGTGGGAGCCTTCGTGGGCAGCCCCGCGTACCTGGTGAGTGCTGCTCTGCCCCCACGGACCCTCGTGTGAGGGGGTGTTTTGAGGAAACACACACCCCCCCGCCAAAGGTTTGGCATCCTGGAGCTCGCTGCATCCTATAAACACCGGCTCCGATGCATCCCTTCTCCCCGTGCTTTGCTTCACCCCCCCAAAATGTGGGGCTGCTCTGTGCATGTTCTCCCTCCGCTGTTTCCCCAAATCCTCCCCCCTGAAACCCAGAGAACTCCCCCATAAGGAAAATTTCCCAAAAGAAATTTAGGGTGTGTTCCCCCCTCCCTTTCTAGGGGGTCTCCCCAGTTTTTGGGGTTGCGGAGTCCCAGCAGTGGGTGTTTGCAGGGTCCCTTTGCTCTTGGGTGGGAGGGGTTCAAGGCCTGGAGGTGCCACTTGGCAACACATCTGTGCCCTCCAAAAATGTGCTGAGAAGAGATGAGGGGACTGCAGCTGGTCCCAGCTGAGGCTGAAGGGGGTTTTGTCACCTGGTATTGTCCCCCCCAAGGTCAAGACCCACCTCCAAGCCCAGACAGTGGCGGCCATGGCTGTGGGCTACCAGCACCACCATGAGGTGAGCGGGGATGGGGTCGGGCTGGGGGGGCATCCGAGATTTGGTGGCACCTTTTCTGTGCACACTCCGGGCCCCAGCAGGGACGATGCTATTTTGGTCAGTAGGAATTTAAAGCTGTTGTTTGGCCGCTTGGCCCTGAAACGATGCTATAAATAACGGCGTGAGGACAGAGGGGGTGTGACGGGCACGTGGGGCTGGGACACCGAATCCAGATGCCCTGCGGTGCCTTCAAAGCCCCTGCTGGCTTCGTGTCACCAACAACCAATGTGGCTTTTGGACGCCAGGGTGGGAAGTTTTGCCAGGGTGGGAAATTTTAGCCGTGTGTGGGACGCACCATTCCTATTTTTCCTCAATTTCCTCTCTTCCCCAGAACATCACCACCGCTTTCAGGAGCATCTACCGGCAGCACGGGGTGGTTGGGCTGTGGCGGGGGGTGACGGGCGCCATCCCCCGCGTGACCGTGGGCTCGGCCGTGCAACTCGCCACCTTCGCCTCCGCCAAGGACTGGGTCTGCGAGCGCCAGGTGAGGGGGACGCGCCGCTCCGGCCGCCGCTCCCCTGGTTTTCGGGCAGAGCTGACGCCGGCGCTCCCCGCAGTGGTTCAGGAAGGGCAGCTGGTCGGCGGTGCTGGCGGGGGGGATGGTGAGCAGCGTGGCCGTGGCCGTGGCGATGACGCCCTTCGACACGATCAGCACCCGCCTCTACAACCAGCCAGTGGACGCCGATGGCACGGTAAGGCCGTTCCGGGTACGGCAGAGGGGATGAGCGGCTTTTCCCAGGATTGCGTCCGGTGGGAGTGCGCAGCTGGCTCCTCTCTCCCCAGGGCAAGCTCTACCGGGGCTTTTTGGATTGTATCCTGCAAATCTCCCACAAAGAGGGGCTGCTGGGCTTGTACAAGGGCATCGGCGCCGTCTACTTCCGCCTCGGCCCCCACACCGTCCTCAGCCTCTTCTTTTGGGACAAGCTCAGGGACCTGGTGCGGCACCAGCAGCCCCCGGGGCCATAGGATGGGCTTCCACCACCACCAAAGACATTAATAAAGGGATTTTTCTATTTTTGGTGTTGTTTCAGGGTCTTTGGGGTGGTGCGGGGGTGGGGGGACAGGACCTGAAACGCTGCAATGCCTCGGGGTGAACAGCAGTGCTGGAGTGGAGGCAGTTGAAGGTGCTGGTGGTCCCCAAGCCCCTCCACGTGTATCCCATCACTGCCTTCCTCTCCTCGCCCTAATTTTCACCTTCACGGAGCAGCTGGAGCTGTGGCCAGAGCAGCTGAGCTCCAGCTGCCCTCGTTTGCCCCAGCAATGATTTACTAGCCGGGGGGGCCACTCCCAGCCTCCGCCCCGCGGACCTTGGAGCCGGGGCCTGGCCTGGCCGTGCCGTGGCTCCTCTCCATCAAAAATGTTCTCCCTGGGGTCCTGGCTGCCGGCATTCCCTGGGCTGGCCTGGGGCTGGGCACTGCTGGATGCATTCCTGCAAGGTGAGAGCCCTGGAGGTGGCACAGGGGCAGCTCGGGGACAGGCCAAGGGGACACTGTGACCCACTGCTGCCTTTCCCCGCAGGGCTGGTGGGTGCCTGCGCCGTCTCGGTGCTCTGCAGCCTCCTGAAGGTTTATCTCTACATCCAGTGCCTGAAGTAAGCACCGCCCGGGGCAGGGGAGGTTGGTTTTGGGCATCTGATTTTGGGGTCTGCTGTTGGGGGGGTGGCTCTTGGCACCCAGGGGTGCAGGGCAGGGCCTGGGAAGCACAGGGAGGGTGTCTCTAGGGCTGTCACCCCGTTTTGGGTGACATGCCACCTGGCTCAGCATTCCCCCCTCACCGTCCCCAGCAACCCAGAGAGGCAGGCAGAGAAGGAGGCGATCCGGGCGCAGCGGGCGGTGCTGGAGCCGCTGCACGTGCTGGTGCTGACGGGGGTCCTGGCCCTGGTGGGCTCCCGCGTGGCCGCGCTGGTGGTGCTGGAGTTCTCCCTGCGCGCCGTGTCCACCATCCTGTCCCTCGGCAAGGTGAGATGGGATGGGGGAAACTGAGGCACGGTGTGGAGGGAGCTGGGAAATTGTGGGTCCCTGGTGGATTTGTTCAACCCCCATGGGGGATGGAGGGGCTGCGGTGTGGAGGGTCCACGTGTCACTTTGCACGTGAACCCAAGGGGGCGAGAGGCTGATGGCCCCGGGCTGGGCCCGGCCCGGGGGGGCACAGGAACAGAGCAGGGCCTGTCCCTGTGCTGGGCACGGCCGGGGCACCTCCAGCCCCGGGGGCACCGCTGGGACCCTCCGGACAAGGAGGACACGGAGGGGCTGGAGCGTGTGCAGGGAAGGGAACGGAGCTGGGAAGGGGCTGGAGCAGCAGGAGCGGCTGAGGGAGCTGGGGGGGCTCAGCCTGGAGAAAAGGAGGCTCAGGGGGGACCTTCTGGCTCTGCAACTCCCTGACAGGAGGGGGGAGCCGGGGGGGGTCGGGCTCTGCTCCCAGGGAACAAGGGACAGGAGGAGAGGGAACGGCCTCCAGCTGTGCCAGGGGAGGTTTAGATTGGATATTGTGGAAAATTCCTTAATGGAAAGGGCACTCAGGCATTGGCACAGGCTGCCCAGGGCAGTGGTGGAGTCCCCATCCCTGGAGGTGTTCAGTAGGTGTGTGGATGTGGCACCTGGGGACATTTTTAGTGGTGGGTGTGACAGTGCTGGTGGGATGGTTGGACTCGATGGTCTTGGAGTCTTTTCCCACCTCCCCGATTCCATGATCCCACGAACCCCTCGCGACTGACGGAGCCGTTCCCTCCCGCAGGGTGCCCACAGCCGGCAGCTCTACCTGCTGTGCCAGTACTCCCTGGGCTGCGGGCTGTCCTGCGGCCTCAGCTTCCTGCTGGAAGGGGCTCCCCACCGGAGCTGGAACCTGCTGCTGGCGGCGGGGCTGGCGGGGCTGCTGGCGCTGCAGTGCCGGCGCCTGGCGCGGCACGTGTGTGCCCTGTATGGGCTGCACAGCCGGGAGCGCTACTGCGGCCTCTGCATCCTGCTGCTCTCCGACGGGCACCGCGTCCCCGCGCTGCTGGGCCGGGCCCTCGCCGTGGCCTTCGCCGTGGCCGACCTGGCGGCCGTGGAGCTCATCAACAGGGATTTCCTGTCGGCCGCCGAGGCCGTGCGGTTCTGGACCCCGCTGACCATCTGCTACACCCTGCTGGTGGTCTACATGCAGGGTGGGAGAGGGGCCGGGGGTGAAGGGGGTGCGTCAGAGGGTGGGGGATCCCGGGAATGGGGCAGTATGGGGTGTTTTGGGGCTGTATGGGGCATCCTGGGATTGTATGGGGGGTTATATGGGGCAACCCATGTATTGGGTTTGGGGTGAAGGGGGGTGTCAGACAGTGGGGGATCCTGCATATGGGGTCTGCCGTATGCAGGATGGGGGTGTATGGGGCATCCCCCAGGGTTGTAGGGGGAGTATATGGGGTATCCTGGGGGTGTATGGTGGATATATGGGGCTTCCCATGTATTGGGTTTGGGTGGAGGGGTTGGGGTGAAGGGGGGTGTCAGAGGGGAGGATCCTGTATATGGGGCAGTATATAGGGTATTTTGGGGGTGTATGGAGCTGTATGGCATGTCCCAGAGGTGTATGGTGGATATATGGGACATCCAATATATTGGGGTTGGGGTGAAGGGGGGGTGTCACAGTATGGGGGATCCTGTATATGGGGCAGTATGGGGTGTTTTGGGGGTGTGTGGGGCATCTTAGGAGTGTATGGGGGTATATGGGTTATCCTGGGGGAGTGTGGTGGATATATGGGGCATCCCATGTACTGGGTTTGGGGTGAAGGTAGGGGTGTCAGAGGATGGGGGATCTTGAGTTTGGGGCAGTATAGGGGGTGTTCTGTGGTTGTAGGGGCTGCATGGGGAATTTTTGGGTTGTATGGGGGGTATATGGGGTATTGGGTTGGGGTGAAGGGAGGATGTCAGAGAGTGGAGGATCCTGTGTATGGGGCAGTGTATGGGGTATTTTGGGGGTGTATGGGGCATCCTGGGGTTGTAGGGAGAGTATATGGGGTATCCCAGGGGTGTATGGTGGATATATAGGGCTTCCCATGTATTGGGTTTGGAGTGAAGGGGGAGTGTCACAGGATGGGGGATCCTGTGTATGGGGGGCATTTTGTAGGTGTATGGGGCTGTTTGGGTATTTTGGGGTTGTATGGGGGGTATATGGGGTATCCCATATATTGGGTTTGGGGTGAATGGAGGTTGTCAGAAAGTGGGGGATCCTGTATATGGGGCAGTATATGGGGTATTTTGGGGGTCTGCGGGGCTGTATGGGGCATCCTGGGGGTGTAGGGGGTGGTATATGTGAAGCACCCCATATCCCCGCTGGAACGCCCCATGTCCCATTTGTGGGGCCAGGGAGGGCACAGTGTCCCCGTTGTGGGTCTGGGGAGGGCACAGTGTC